GAAAAACGTTGGCGTTGAGGGGGTGTCCGCCGCCGCCGCTCTCAACTGACCGTGGTGTGCGGGGATGTGGCTAGCCTCTGGCTGCTGCTGTGAGGAGGCGTGATTAGCCAGCTCGGCCCACACGGACAGGGCTCGCCTTGGGTGGGCTGGCCTGGCCTCTGACAGAGCCTCCCATCGCCGGGGGAGTGGGGCCTCCAGCTGACCGACAGTGGGTGACGGGGTAAGGAGGCCGCTGAGAAGGGTGACCTGAACTTGGTGTCTTACTGACTGGAGCAGAGCCAGTTGGTCAGAGGTGACCTGACTTCTGACTGAGGTGGGGAAGAGACCCCGCTTGTTTGATAGTGCAGGTAGATCCATCCATAGGATAAACCCCCACAAGTGGAATTATTGGATCAGATCTGTGTTTTTATTGTTATTTTGGCAAATGGCGCCAAATTATCCTAATTTGTACCAATTTGAAGTTTCACCAACAACATGTGTCTCAGAAATTTAAACTGTCAGATGTAAGAGTTACTGAGTTGCTAGTTGACTGAAATGCCAAAAAGGCACACGGTAGAGCTATGAGGTCTCAGAGTGCATGTATGCTCTTATGCTGTGAACGAGCAGAAGTTATAAGGATAAAACTATGTCCCCACATCGGGAAATGTTGGTAAGTAGTGAATTCTTCGGTTTGTTTGTTGTAGGGCAGGGGCATTAAAATCAAAATAGGACCCTTGGTTATTTTAAAAAATATGGGATATTGACAAAAGTCTGCTGCTTGGGCTCAAATAACTTTATTTTTCAAAGTAATTGATTCAAATTAAAATGGCTTTAGCAAAAAGAGTATCTTTTTTTTCCTCCCTGCAGGAATGGGTGGTATCTAAGCATTGTTTAGTGCAGTGTTTTTTAATCTTCAGTGAACTGAATCAGCCAGAGGGTGTATAATAAAGATTGCAAGACCACACACCAGTCTTTTTGATTGAGAAACTGAATTTTGTGAGTGAGGCCCCCAAATTAGTATTTCTTTCAGGTTCCTAGGTGATTCTGATGCTGCTTAAAGCCTGGTGAGCACACTTTAAGACTCACTGGTCTGAGCCAGGCATAGTGGCACATACCTTTAATCCTAGTACTTGAAAGGCTGAGGGCAGCCAGGGTGGGAGAAAAAGAGAAAAGATGAGCAGCGAGGGAGGTAAGAGAGAGAGGAGATCATTGGCCTGCTGGGCAAGTAGTGTATGACTCATAGACTTCAGATGTTTTGGTCCAGTTGGTGAACTGTTACAAAGGGATTCAGTAAGTTGAGCTTCCTGTAATGCTATCAAACATTCATTTCAGCTCACACACCCTTGCACATTGGGGACTGAATCTAGGATGCCATACAGGCTTAGCTATATCTCTGGCTTTTTGGCCCAAAGTCCCCCTCTTTTCTGAAACATTGTGTTTTCTAGGCTTTGTGATTGCATTCTCTTAGCAGTTCTTTCTAGTGTCTAGCTGACTCTATCCATCTACTCAGTCCTTGAATTTTTTTCTTTTGTTTTTTTAAGATAGGGTTTCTCTATGTATAGCCTTGGCTGTTCTGGAACTCTCTCTGTAGATCAGGCTGGCCTCAAACTCACAGAGAGCTGCCTGCCTCTGCCTCCCAAGTGCTGGGATCAGAGGCATTCAATACCACTGCCCAGTGAAAAAGTTTTTTTTTAAGTTCCTTGTTTTTTAAAAAACTTTAGATTTTTAAATTTTATTTTATGTCAATGAGTGTTTTGCTTGCATGCAAGTATATATGTGCACCACACAGATGCCTGGTGGCTGCACAAGTCAGAAGAGCTCATTGAATCTCCTGGAGTTGGAGTCATGATGGTTGTGGGTCATGGGGGTGCTGGGAACTGAACATGGTCCTCTGCAATAATAACAGGTTCCTTTAACCTCAGAGCCAGCTCCCAGGCCTTAAATCTGAATGCTCCTCAGCATTTTGACATGGGCCACTTCCGACCGTTACTTTCTCCTCACATAATCTCAGCTACTCCTGTGACTTCCGTGACCATCTTAATGCTAACAGCATCCGACTCGTTTATCTCCAGCCCAGACTGTCCTTAAAGTTCCATTTGCAAATCTCCAAATGGAATTGGCATTTCTAGGCATCTGGACTCATCTCTGTTCTCCTCACAGAAACTGTTTTCTCTTTCAAAAAAAAAAAAAAACTACTTGCTTTCTTTTATTATTTGCTGGTATTTTAATACTTTCTAAATATTAGCATTTAGTATTAGTGAATGGTGGTATTATCAGCCAGCAGTTGTTGACATGAACAGTCTGCCTGATTTCTACTTCAAGTCCCATTTTACCTCCTATCTTTTGTGTTTGCTCATTCACTTTTTATTTTTCTTTTTTTGACTTCTGCTAATAGCCAAGTTACTGTCATCTCTGGCCTAATCCTCCCGAAAGTACTTGTCTTCTACTCCTTTTTTGCTCACTCTGTCAAAGCAGTCTTACAAGTCGTAGCTGGTGGCACATGCCAGAAGTTCCAGCACTAGGGAAATGGAGGCAGGAAAAATCAAGAGTTTGTAGCCAGTTTGGGCTCCACAGAAAGGCTCTGTCTCAAACAAAGTATGAATGCATCATTTTTCCTTTAGCCACTTCCTCTTGACGGTGTCTTAATTCTATCTGCCATTAATAAAACACCACAGACTGTATGGTTTAAACATTTATTTCTCCAACTCTTAGAAGAAGGCTGAGGTACTGGTCCCTTCATTTCCTGGTGAGGATTTTCTCTCTTGTTGCCTGTTGTGAACTTATCGCTGTGTCCTCACATGGCCTATCTGCGGCACCTGGGAGGAGAAAGAGCTCCTCTTCTTCCTCTTTCAAAGCCACCAGTCCCACTAAATCAGTTACCTTGGACTGCTGGTTCCGCTCAGTTAACAGTTTGACACAAACTCCAGTCACCGAGGAAGGGGAGGCCTCTGCAGAGGAATTGTCTCTGCCTGTAGGCACATCCACGGGGACATTTTCAAGATTGCTGGAGGTGGGCCCACCTTAAAATGGACAGTGCTACCTGTGGATGGGTGGTTCTGGGCTGTATAAGAAAGCAGCTTGAGCAAGCCATGGAGAGCAAGCCAGTAAATGGCATTCCTCCCTCCATGGCCTCTGCTTCAGTCCCCAATTTCCTTGAATCCATGCCCTGAATTCCCTCAATGATGGACTGTTATCTGGAAGTTATAAGATGAAATAAACCCTCTCCTCCCCCAAGTTGCTTTGGGTTATGGTATCTACCAAAGCAGCAGAAAGCAAACTAGGTCACCTCCCAAGTGCTCCATCTTCAAAGACCATCACATTGAAGGTTAAGGATTCAATGTATGTGTTTGGGGAAAATGCAAACATTCAGTACCCAAACACACTGTGAACTAAATTTAAAGGCAAACATAGCTCATTATGTGTTTTTAGATCATATAAATGTTTAGCTGCTTCTAAATCTAGATATAGAGTAAATGTATTTACTCTCTCAAGGGCTATGCCAATGGAGGTGATTACCTTGGTCCTGGTCTCACAGTGCTTATACTTTAAGGAGAACAGATTAAGGAAATCCTGGTAAGTCTACCATCAGGGTGAGAGGTGTCAACCTGTGAATCATAAATATAAATCAGTTTTATTTCCCCTCCAATAACCACTACCACTGTCTCTAGAAATCCTTTTGTTCTCTGGGTATCTACTTTCCTGAGGACAGCCTACTGTAGCCACTTTCAAAAAAGTCATTCATGTGGTTTCCTTCCAGGCATTAAAATTTCAGCCTGGCCCCTTAAAATATTTCATCTCCTATTGAACACACAGCTTTTCCTGATCTAGTACACTTACAATTGCTCTCATGGAAGGGTTAATGATGTCTCCCCCTTGCTCTCTCCTTTCTATTCTTAAGAAAAACAAAGAATGTTCTTTGCAAGACTGTCCTTGACAGAGTGGCATTTGTCACTCTGCCTTTTTGAGTAACAGTTCTCTCATTGTGTGAACATTGGCTCTCTCGCCTGCACTCTGCACATGGCTGCTTTCTGAGGCTCCTGAGTTAAGACACTGCAGGCTCAGCCTCTTTCTCCTATGTTCTCTCACCAGTGTCTTCCAGGTACATCTAACAATCTTCCACTGTTGAGGGATCCAGAGGAGCTTCTTGAGAAATGCCAGCCACCTGCTGAGCTGCAAAGGACTTACAAACACAGAGAATTTAACATAATTCAAGGAGGAAGGGAATACAGGAAGCTCTCATCTTAGTGCCCTCTGTCCTTCCAGCCCTTTCCTCCTGTGAGTATCTGAGACTCAGTCAAGTCAGTTAAGTCCAGACAAGTTCTCAGCTTGGGGAAAGAAGTAAGGAACACCTCGTCTCACTTTACTCTGTGTGAAGTGAATGGAAAAGGCAGAGCAGCCCCCATTTCCCTCAGTGGGGAGGAAGCAATGGCTTGCTGTCATCTGGTATGGAACAGTCACCCAGAGATATAGTAACTAATTGGAAATTTTCAAATGCTCACTGTTTTGCTAAAGAGTTTATGATAAAATGATTAACATTAATAAATGACTTTTAAGTGTGAAATTGGTCATATAACTGTAGTGGTACAGCAATGTTCTGATTTAAATATATATATATATATATATATATATATATATATTTCTCTTCAGTAATCCTGCCTAAAACTTGGGAAGCACAGAGTTGCTGACTGCATTGTCTGGAGAATTTCTGAAGACCACATTGCCAACCAAGTGGGATGAATACTGGCCCTGGAGTTACTTTCCTTAACTGTAAGTCACATTGCTAATGGTTTCTTGGTCATCCTGGGTTTGTCCTGAAACAACTTGTTTATCTAAGACTTCAAAAATGATGTCTTCTTCAGAAGTGTGTATTTTGTAAGGTGTCACTTCAATATAGATTTACTCCCCCTAAGTAGTAAAACAATCTCATATCAACTGAGAGGCCAGTGTAGTCTTTTGTACTTAGTAAGATATTTACATATTCTTTCTGTTGTTTGTTTTCTGTTTTGTTTTTCAAGACAGGGCTTCTCTGTGTAGCCCTGGCTGACTTGAACTCACTCTGTAGACCAGACTGGTCTTGAGCTCAGCGATCTACCTGCCTCTGCCTCCTGATGCTGGAATTTAAGGTGTGCGCCTCTACCACCTGGAATTATTTTTTATTCTTTATTGAGTGCCTCTTGTGTGCCAGCTAACATGGAAGAAGCCAGGACCAAAGCAATGAGCAATTTGGGTGTAGTGATGTAAACTGTAACCCCAGCACTCCAGTGGCTGAGGGAGGAAGATCACTACAAATCTGAGGTCATCCTGACCTACAAGGCAGGTACCAAGCCAATCAGTGCTACACAGTGACACCCTGTCTCAACAAACAAACAAAACAAACTCGAAATATGAAAGCAGTAAGGCAGCTCTTGCCTTCATCCAGAGCTCTGAAGCTGAGGAGTTGCCCTTGGTTTGTGATGAAGGAAAGAAACTCCCCACAACCCCCCCAAATGCCAGACACTGGTGGTGCACACCTTAATCCCAGCAGAAGCAGGCAGATATCTGTGAATTTGAGGCCAGCCTGGTCTGTAGAGCTAGTTCCAGGACAAATAGGGCTACACAGAGAAACCCTGTCTCAAACCCATGCCCTATCTCCCCCCCCCAACAAAAATTCCATTCCTGTACTTCAAAAAAATAGCAATAAATCTTAACTAAGTTAAAATTACACTTAGATAAACTAAAAATTCAAACTGAAGCCACACTTAGTTACTTATTTCATACCCTTTAATATGATTGTTTTAGAGCTCGTCGATAGTGGTGCACACCTTTATTCCCAGCACTTGGGAGGCAGAGGCAGGCAGATCTCTGTGAGATCAAGACCAGCCTGGTCTACAAGAGTGAATTCCAGGACAGCTTCCAAAGCTATAGGGCAACCCTGTCTCGAAAAACCAAACCAAACCAAACAAACAAACAAAAAACAAAACAAGATTATTGTTTTAGAAAAAGATTATTGTGGGTTTTTTTTTTTGTTTTTTTTGTTTTTTTTTTTTTTTGATTTTTTGAGACAGGCCCTGGCTGTCCTGGAATTCAGTCTGTAGGCCAGGCTGACCTTGAACTCAGAGATCTGCCTGCCTCTGCCTCCCCAGTGCTGGGATCAAAGTTGTGTGCCACCACTACCCAACTAAGATTTTTTTTTGAGAGGTATTATTCCTTCATAGACCAAGCTGACCTTGAACTTGCTATGTAACCCAGAATGGCCTCCAGCCAATCAACCTGTCTTAATCCTAGGAGTGCTGGTATGGCAGATGTGCATATAACAGATAATTTAGGATAAAATTAGGAATTTTATCACGTTAGGAATAACGTTCTGATATATGCAACAACATGGATAAACTTTGAAGTCACTGTGGCAAGGGAGATAAGCCACACAAAAAACAGCGATGAGCTTGTCTCCCATCTTCCATATCTGAAATGGAACAGTGTTGTAGAACTCTGTTGTCTGGTTTTGACATGACTGGCCGCTGACTTTTTACTTCAGAGTCCTTATAAGACTGGCCCACTAACATTCCCACTCAGAAAACAGACAGGCGTGGGCTACCTGGGCTAATAAGCCCAGCCCCTCCTCAGAACATTTAAGCCCTTCACTATTGCTGGTATGGAGACTCTTCAGTGGTGTAGCCGCTCTTAAGTTGCCCATATTCTGTAAGTGACCCCAGTGACAATCATTGCTCACCCGAAGTTGGAATTTGTGGAATTGTTTCTTCTGTCTGTTTGTTCACTGCCTGATGTGAAGTGATGTGTGTTCTCCCAGAAAAGGCATGCAGCAGTCTTTAAAGATAAAAGAAACATGTCTGTGAGACCAGAGAGGTCTTGCTTCACAAAGTTATCAAAATGAAAGACTGGCAGTTAAAAGCTGTAAATATTTGTCTGGCAAGACACACAAAAGCCATTCTGTGGATGAAAGGGAAAAGTTTATTCCAAACAGCCAAGGCTGACTCTTGGAGGGGTGGGAGGAGCAGAGGAAAGCAACGGGGTAGGGGGTGGGGTGGGGGCGGGAAAATCTTCAGGGTTATAAGGGAATGGGTACCTGGGAGGAAGGGAGCCTGTAAATTGGGGTTGGGGCTTTAAAGTGTATAGCAGGTACTTATGAGTAGGACCTGAGGGAGCCTGTAGGCTGGCCTGGACCTAGACATGCTATTAGGCACCACAGGCACATGTTAATGGGGAGCCATGTATCCCCTTTGCTATCGATAAGGAGAATGACTCCTTTTGGCAAGCTTTCCAAGTCCCTGAGCAAAAGCTTTTTTTTTTTTTTTTTTTTTTTTTTTTTTTTTTTTTTTCCCAAACTTGTTTGTTTTCCTCAACTTGTGGAATTCTGCTATGTCCTTGAACAAAAGTGGACTGGCGAGCAAGGAACAAAAGCATCCAGTGTCCATTTTCTAAAGCTTTGCTTTGACTTAAATGGGCCCCTCGTCAGATGGGTTTCTCACTTCTCTCAGCCTCCTGTGCAGCACTTGAGATACACCATCCTTGCCTCCAAAATAGAAAAGTGAGACACAAAGAAATGAGGCACTCACCCCAAACCACACAACTAGGAAAAGCAGATCAAAACCCTGTTGGCCGATAGAAACAAAATGTGTACAGATGCAAGCCCAACCTAGAACCTTACATTGCCTGGCACTTACAACTTCGAGTTTTTCTAAAAGAAAAAACAAATGTAAACAACCCAAATACATCGAAAATACCCTTGTAACACATAATCAATAGAGAGTTATTATTGAAATATTTGTATTCTTGCATTCTGTCTTCTAAGTCTGATGGGCACATTACAATCTGGATTCTGCAGTTCAAGTTCTCATTCATGTACATGTGACTGCTGGCTGCTGTACCACAGAGAGCTGGGAGCCATCTGCCGCCGCCAGGATTGAACATTTCAGTGGCTGGGAGCCAAAAGGAGTTTCTTTGGACCTGACAGACACAGGTCTTTACTATATAGTCCTGGATAGGAAGTAACTATGTAGGCCAGACTGGCCTGGAACTCATTATGTAGAGTCTACACTGTAGACCAATATGCATTCAAACTTACAGAGATCTGTCTACCTCTGTCTCCTGAGTGCTAGGATCAAAGGTGTGGACTGCCAAAAAAAAAAAAAAGCTGTATTTTTCTTACTAAGTCTTGCTGGTACAGCTGCCGGGAAGTTCCTACACCTTGGCAACCAGGCTAGATAATATGTGTATGTCATTCTCATTGATAGAAATTCCAAATTGTCATCCAGAAAGTCTGTGCCAAATAGTATTCCAACAAAAAGTTTGGGAAAGTGCTCGTTTTCCAGCACTGGTTAGCTCATTCTCCTGTTGCAGTCAAGTGATCTGGCTGGTCTCTCAGTTGTCTCACATTTGCCTGGTTATGGGGAAGGCAAAGTACTTTTTAAATGTGCACTGTCATTTGTAGTTTTTTTCTTTGAAGCTTTCATAATATTGCCCTTCTCCCCCAGGCTAATCACCCTCTTCAATAGCAATCAATGAAATCTATGTGAATAGCTAGCATGTATTAAATGAGCATCATGTTGCTTAGATCATTTATTCATCAGTCACCAAGTAACAAACACTTGGAACATTAACAGGTCTTTACTATATAGTCCTAGATAGGAAGTTACTGTGTAGGATTAATAATAACAGGATTATTGTACAGCTATAGGTGTACTGAGCTGTCTTTCCATCACAGGTGGATACCTTAAATTAGGTTTTTAGAGGTGGAAATAAGTACTAATTTGAAATTGAATCATTTAAACCTTTAAAATAGGATTATGGGGCTGGAGAGATGGCTCAATGGTTAAGAGCACTGACTGCTCTTCCAGAGGTCCTGAGTTCAATTCCCAGCAACCACATGGTGGCTTACAACCTTCTGTAATGAGATCTGGTGTCCTCTTCTGGTGTGCAGATATACATGGAAGCAGAATGTTGTATACATAATAAATAAATAAATAAAATCTTAAAAAAAATAGGATTATATGATGGAGTAATGGTCCAAATTGGGGAGCATTTGGTGGCCCTGTAATTGCAGCATGGAGCCACTTAGGGGCTGTTGGACTTAAGTCATGAGCAGAGCTCTAAAGAACTTGTACACAGAACAACACATTAAACTAAAAGAATACAGGACTGATTTGGAGAAGGCTAGATTACACCCACTTCTTTGTATATAAGAATAGTACAGAATACAGAGTGATTTCTTTGTACGTAAGTATAGTATGGAATACAGGGTGAAATAGTTTTGCATTTTTGATCTGAATACTAATTGAATTGGGATGCTAATTCAGGGCTGATTGCACTAATGACCTCAAAGCCAACCTTTTTGTTTGACATGATTTATTGAGGATGGCTCTGTATTCAACTAGACATTTCAAGAATACCAGGGCAGTTTTGCGCAGCATGATGTATACCTTGAGTTAACTGAGAACTGAAGTTACTAACACCATCTTGCAAACATAATTACCCAGATGGGTAAACCCTGCATCCACATTACTACAGGCAAAGCGAGGTGGACAAATGGGTGTTTGTTTGCTGATTTGTTACAGATACATGTTAAGTGTCAATTGATTTTTTTCTCCCTTCCAAAACAAAAATCTACTTCACTGTGTGTATATCAGTCTTACAGATTTGCAGTTACAGTATGGCTAGTTGTTTGATCTGGTAATAGTCATTTCACTTAACATATATAGTGCTTTTTGTTTGTATGTTTGTTTGTTTGTTGTTGTTGCTTTTTGAGACATGGTCTCACTATTTGCCTTGGCTGTCCTGGAACTCACTGTGTAGACCAGGCTGGCCTTTGAATTCACAGAAATCCACGTGCCCTACCTTCTGAGTGCTGGGATTTAATTAAAGGCACGCGCCACCACCACATGACTCCCCCATCTTCTTCATAAATTAGTGTATCACTTCCTGGTCAGGGATACAAGAATGAGAATTCCCATCCAGTGGATCACTTAAGCTTTGAGAGCATTAGCAAGAGGGACTTGTGAACTTGCCAAAACTGCCAAGGCTCCTGGGCATTGAGGTGGGTGGGGATGCATGGTTTCTGAGCTAAGCTGGACCCATTCGCTTCAGAACTCTCTGCTGCTTCCCTGGCCACCAAGCTAGTTTGTTGATGGTGTGTGTGTGTGTGTGTGTGTGTTTACCATTTACTGCTCATTTCGTTAGACACTGAGGGAGGAAATTAATGTACTTTCTAAGTTTAGTATTTCAACTCTTATATAAAATATAAAAAATTTCAATAACTCTTTGTTCATCATTTTATTGATAGCAAAGTATTACTTTTAGTACTCTTCGTACTGAATTCTGTTTGTTACATTAATATTGTTATGCAGGTAAAATGATCCTTTGTTTGGCATGCTGGGAAAGCATTCTGACTTTGAAGCCTGTGTGTCTTTATCAACGTATTGCTGTTCTCCATTCAGAGCTAAGTTCTGAGTTATTCTGTGCCTTGAGGTTGCTGGGGCAGAACCAGAGCACAATGGAGGCTGAAGTTTCTCTCTGGCTCAGGCCACAGAAGAGCCAGCCACATCATTTGCCCTCATGGTTCCTCATCCTTAGATGCTGCTTCATTCCTTTTGGGAGCTTGGGGTTTATCACGACTGGCTCTAGGAATGTCCCTGAAATTCTTTTTGTTGCTACATCTGTGAGTGCTGGATTTGTTTCCCATACACTGTGGCCAGTGGCTTAGGGGAGTTTGTATTCACTGCTGGATGAGGTATGCTAGAATTTTCCGCTGGAACCATGAGCCTCATCCTTACCAGGGCACTGCCATGATTACCTCTCCAGGCTTATCTGGAGGCAGAAACTTCTGCTGCCATGTTGTGGATGAAAGCTGGGGCACCGCCTCTGTTCACTGCTCCCAGGCTCTCTTACTTCCCTGTGTCCACGGCTCTGAGCTTGGAGAGCCCTGAGGTTGCTTTTACTCTTCATTTTTGCTCTCTCCTCTGAATATTTTGGGTAATGATTTTTCTTCAACCTGACGACATCTGGCTTCCAAGTCTGGCTAATCGAAGACATCATGGCTTGAACCTCTGTCTTGAATTACTCACTGTGGGAGAAAGCAGCTCTGAGTGGGTCATCTTGATGAGAGGTCCTTCAGCCCCATCAGCCATTCCGATGACCACAGCCTTGGTTGGAATCTTCAGCCCCTTCAGCCATTCTGAAAACTGAAGTCTTGGCTGTCTCTTGTGAGAGACTCAGTCAAAACCACCCAACTCCTGGACTTTAAAAATTACACGACATAATAACTATTGTTCTAAGTTGTTAAAAGATTAATATTTGATACAATATTAGCTTTTGGGAATTTTCCAGGTGAAATTCCATTACCATGCCTTCAAAATTGTCTTTTTCTTGTTGTTACTTCAGCCTAAATCTCTTTGAAGAGAATTATGAAGAACCAGCCAAGGTCACCATACCACTATGACTAATTTTAGGTGGTTTAGAGTACACTCAGCCATAATAACACTGAACTGAGCATGCCCAGAAGCATTTGTTTCTATGATTGACAACAAATAAACCTCCAGTCACTTAATATAGAGAATAGTCTGATCAGCGTCGTCTTCTCAGAAACACTCTGCCTTTTGGGTATGGCATCAATGTCTACATATCAACCCCTCCTTTCTAGATTCCTCTGTAGGTTCTTTCTTCAATTCCCCCAGGTCCAGTCAGAGGCTCTTTTCTTTTGTAATCTACTCTCATCCTCTTGGGGAATAAGCAGCTGGTGCCCAAACGTGTTCATGTAGCCCAGGCCTTTTTCTTGAGTTTCATCCATATTGCAGCACTTAGCAGTGCTCAGCCCCTTTTATTGCTTAATGGTATTTCATTTTATGGTCAGAGTACATCTGTCTACAAACTGATGGATATTTGGTTTTGTGTACTTTTTTAGCAGTTACGAATAATGCTACTGTAGCCATCTTCTCATACGCCATGTATCTGTCACTCCATTTTTCTTGGGTATACATCCAGCAGTGGAATGGCAGGACTAGGTTATGTGTATATGAATGAAGTAAAATGGGGACGAGATACTCTTTGGAATGGGCTGAGGAGGGAAAGCATGGCCAGACTGAACTGGGCCACAGATGGGGGGTGGGTGAGAAAGGAAGAGAGGAGAGAGGGAGCAAAGAGTACACCTGGGAACCCAGAGGCCAAGAGCACTAAGAGACTGCGTAGCCAAAATGGCTGAGGTTATACAGGGATCAGAGAAGCGGGGAAAGGGAAGTGAAGCTCGGGGGCTGGAGAGGTTAAGGTAGGGTCCAGGTGTGCAGCAGGATGGTGCTTGCTGAGAACCTGCAGGGCAGTGTCTGCTCTGATATGTTAAACAGGCACCTCAGTTAGCCATCTGTCCTGGGTTTGATACCCAACAGTGTATATACAGATAGAGACAGAAAGATAATCAGTCACGGGATGCTGACACTCTATCTTCAGCCACCTTTAAGTCCTGTAGGGCCTCTATTTCTAGTTTTTACATTTGGTTATTATTTTGTGTGTGGACACATGTGGAGACCATGGAACAACTCGTGGGAGTCAGTCTGTCCCCTGACTGTGTGGGCTCCAGGGATCATTATTCAGGTCTGCTGGCTGAGCAAATGCTGGCCTGTGATTGCTCTGCACTTCAGTATTGTCTGTCAAGTGGGATGATGGCTGTACCTGTCCTTATGGATTATTAAGAAGACTAACTAAATTAATGTAGGCAAGTATAGATGTGTGGATCAAGATTCACTGGATTAGGCTCAATATAGGTTAATATAATTTTATTCGGGGAGAAGGCACTTACACAGGAAACAGATGACCACCACACGTTCCCGCTCCAAGGATCCACACAGGCTGCTCTCTGCGACTTGACTGGAAGCAAGAGAGAGAGAGAGAGAGCTACCTGTGCCCCGACCCCAGACCTAAAATCACTCTCTGTCATGTCTGCCCAAATGGGTGGATATGGTCAGTGCCACAGGTGCGGGTGGGGTGGATTTCTCACTACAATTCCCTTTTTAGTCTAAAGAAAAAGATTTAGACTTGATACAAAACTATATACAAAGATAGCAAATATCAAGTGTGCTCCAAGAGAGGGAAAAGTAAGAGCAAACACACTCAAGACCTATTGCCAGTGAAGCAACAAGAGCAAATGGCAAGAACTACATATCCAGTCCTAGGGTAAAGGCCTAACAGAGATGATATAGAGTTGTCCTAAGCTGGAAAATTTAAGTCTTGTACCTAATATTTCTATCTAGGAAGAGAGAACAATAATTGTGACAGTCTAATCTTCAACCTCATCAAAGACCCGAGAAGGAGGATAGCAATACTAGGGTAGGCAGGAAGTGCCGGCGAGCAACTTCCAAAAGGTACAGTGAAGACAGAAACAGCCAGCTACCTGGACAGTCACCCGAAGTCTCACAGCAGCGTAGGGGCGACCAGCTTTGGCTAAGGCCTAGAGTATCTGACTGACCAACACAGAAGCAGGGAGGTTGAAAGGCCGTCTTACCCTGATTTGGCAAGGTTCAGCAGTCTTTTATGTTTGTCTCCTGTAAGCACAGTAGGACAGCATGTCCAAAGTTAGTGGTCGAGGCCGGGAGTTGGTGGCGCATGCCTTTAATCCCAGCACTCGGGAGGCAGAGGCAGAGGCAGAGGCAGAGGCAGATGGATCTCTGTGAGTTCGAGGCCAGCCTGGGTCTCCAGAGTGAGTGACAGGATAGGCTCCAAAGCTACACAAGAGAAACCCTGTCTCGAAAAACCAAAAACCAAAAAACAAAGTTAGTGGTCGAGGTGGGGGTAGTTCTTTGCCCAAGAGGCCATTAACTGAGGAGAGAATGAACTCCAGGAGTTACATCAGTGCCCAACATATACTCTGGAATAGCTTGGTGCTGTCAGGAGCAATTGTGTCTCAAGTCAACAGAGTACTAATAATAAAACATTTAAATGTCATATTCTGTAGGTCTATGAAGTGTTTGAAGATCAAATATAGATCAAATATCTATGTCTGACTAATCTCATAGGTATAAGAAACATGGGTGAATAATAATCTGTAATTCTCAGAAACATAGTTGTACAATGGCTGAAGCTTCCCAAAATAATTTAAACAATCTTTTTTAAAAGATTTTATTTATACAACATTCTATTTCCATGTATATCTGCATACCAGAAGAGGGCACCTCATTAGGGATGACGGTTGTGAGCCACCATGTGGTTGCTGGGAATTGAACTCAGGACCTCTGGAAGAGCAGTTGGTGCTCTTAACCTCTGAGCCATCTCTCCAGCCCAATTTAAACAATCTTAAAACCTTTATGTAGCAAGGAAAATGACCTCAAATTTGTAACTATATACATATATATAATTCTCAAAAACAGAGATAGAACTGAAATGTCTTGGCTAGAGGTAGAACTATAAAGTGCACAATGATAAAATATCTTAAGTTGTATCAATATACAAAATGTATATATATCAAGATAGTTTTATATTTGTGTGCAAAACATTGTAAACAGAAAGAAGACCCAAACAAGAATCTAACAATTTAAATTATCTATATATAGCTAACAGTTGCTAAAGTTAGTTCACTAGAAAGTATGTTAATCTACCTAATCCCATACTAACCTTACCTTTCCCATCCATACCCTAAACTCATCTCAAAGAGATACCTGAGTCTGAGCATCACCTTCCATAACCAGCCCTATACAACTAAAACCCAACCCTATGCAAGTGAATATTATCCCTCAATGCCAACAGTAGGGGAAGGGGACTTTGTTTTCTTAGGATTACTTCCTGTTGAAATGGGACAATGATGACTCCATGGGATCCTGTAGGAAAAAAATTAGAGCAACAAAAAGTTAATGAATAGTCTCTCTTACTAGTAACACCATTTGTTGATTCTTTTATACAGTACAATGATAGAGCAACATACCATTGGAATGAAACTGTCATGTAAACAATACAGAGCCCACTTGTGATAGCGTCCTCCCCATACTGTGTGGTAGCCACAGTTGTATAAGGGTTCCACCACTGAAAGCAGTGTCATCATGCCATAATGGTAGTATTGATTTTTGTGAAGACAGCCTGGAGAGATGTATGGTGAGTCCCTGACCTTAGCATGACTTATCTGAAGGCTTCTGCTGGCCAAGATGGCCATAAGATAATGATGGCGGGCAGGACCTGTGACCTGTTGAGAGGCAGACCCAATGTAGGGAGAGGAGGCCCTGGCAGAAGCCCAGCTTCCTATGATTACTGAGGTCTGTTTTCTGGGGGTTGGTAAGCCTCATGGAGATTTGTAAACTGACTGTTTGACCATGATTTCCAACAGTAGGAAATCATTGTCTTCCATTCCCCCATGGATGAGGAATCCTGGTTCATCTGTGTCCCCCCCCCCCCACTCCCTTGGGAATGGCAGCATGAATCTATTACAGCTTTAGCAGTTGCTTCTCTGGCTGCCTGAGGGCCTTTGCGGTTTTGCCCCAGGGCTCTGTGAGACTGGTTTTATTGGTTCCTCTAATCTCTTCCCACAGGAATTTATGATGTATATAAAGCTTTGCTGTTCTATCAGCTTTTCAGGGAGTCCATACCACAGCTCAGTCACACCCTTTTCTTCTGGGATTTTTTGACAAGCTTTGTTGGTCCTACTGATACACTATCAAAATTCAGTGGAGCAGTTACAAAGGGTAGAGACAGCAGACTTTTTCTTTAGTTTTTTTTTTTTTTTTCTTTTGGTGTAGGCTTGTTTTGCCTGCATGTTTGTATACACATTGGTGCAGTGCTCTTAGAAGCTAGGAGATAGCATTAGAACCCCTGAAGCCAGAAGAGGATGATGTTGTACAAAAAATAAAAGAACTAAGAGAGAGATATTGGGGTTCAAACTTCAAGTTGAAGATCAGAAAAGCAAAGCAGCCAGTCACGAGCTCTTATCTTTACCTCAGACTGAAAGGCAATCCTGGTTCCACCCAACCTCAGACTGCTGCCTCTGCCTCTCGAGTGCTGGGATTAAAGGCGTGTGCCACCAACGCCCGGCTATCTATCTATCTATCTATCTATCTATCTATCTATCTATCTATCTATCTATCTATCTTCTCTCTCTGTGTGTGGAGAGGGAGGGAGGGAGGGAGGGAGGGGGAGAGAGAGGAGATTCAAAAGAGATATTGTCTTCTTGCATGGGAAAAAAAAATCTCATCAATATAGTTTAAAGACTCTATAATTCTCCTTTCTCTCTCTCTCTCTCTCTCTCTCTCTCTCTCTCTCTCTC